TGAGCAGTAAATTCCCACAAACAGAAATTTGATAATGACTGGATAATCTGTTTTTGTTAAGGATGATTGAGGGCTAAATGTTTGTGAGGCTGGGTGGGACACCTGCCCTGCTTTTCTTTGACATAGTGCTTTAGGACCTAATATACCCAGTTAGGAGAGCAGAAAGGACTCCAGTTAGATGGCTTGTTCAAAGGATAGCACCATTCTTTTAGGATTTTCAGTTATTCGCACTAGAATGTGACTTGAATTCATCCATCAAAGTTGGTGTGTGGATGAGTGACAGATGTCATATGCTGATGAATTCACTGACTCAGATCACCCACCCGGGGCCATTAAATATCTTCCAGTACTGTTCCCAGAAGCTTGGTGTCCTCTTTTCCTTCAAAGAGTATTCCTCACCTACCCCATGGAAGTGTGGCCCCATTTCCCCTGTCTGCATCTGTGAAAACTGAGCCCTCTTGGTTTTCCACATCCCTCAATTACAGTTGCAGCAATGGTAGGTCAGATGTGGTTCAATTGCTGCTTTCCTTTAAGAGTACCAGACTGCCCTCAAGAGCTGGAGCTGAGCTGAAACAGTGCCAGTTTCGTATGTTTTGTTAAGTCCTTGCTTAGTACTGCCGGTCCGCTACAGGCAGCAGCGGGCTGCGTGCTGAACACGTTGAAATGAGAAGGCAGCACAAAGTCTGCTTCCACCGGAACAAGTACAGGCAGGAACCGGTTCTGAGGAAGGGTCACTGGACCCGAAATGTTCACTCTGCTTTCTCTCCGCAGATGCTGCCAGACCTATTAGGTTTTCCAGTAATTTCTGTTTTTGGTTTTGATTTCCAGCACCTGCAGTTCATTTGCTTATTTTTAGGAACCAATTTTGACCTGATGCAATCCCAGGTGCAGAAACAAAGAATTTTAAATAACAAATTTATGCCGGTGTTTATGCTCCATATGAACCTCCTCTGATTCTAATTACCTGCCCTCATATTCCTCTATTCCCTTCTCTTCATGTATGCATCAAACCTTCCCTTAAAAAGATGAGTTCTGTCTGCATCAACCTAGCATAGGGCAGTAAATTTTGCATCCTCATCATTCGCTGCAAAGAAATTGTCCTAAATGCTTTATTTTATCTGTTAGTGCCTATTTCATAGTTACATTTCCTTGTTTTGGGCTCATATCAGTAAGGGAATGAAAGGTTTTCCTGGTCCCTTAATGTCACACTTGGTCAAATGCAGCCTTGATAATATCAGTAAGGGAATGAAAGGTTTTGCTGGTCCCTTAATGTCACACTTGGTCAAATGCAGCCTTGATATCAAGGGCTGTCACTCTCACCTCACCTCTGGAATCCAGCTGTTTTGCCCATGTTTGAACCAAGGCTGTAATGAGGTGAGGAACTGAGTGACAAAACCAGGAAATTGAAGATTATTAGATCAACCATGATCCTATTGCATGGCAGAGCAGACTTAATAGGCTGAGTGGCCTACTTCTGCTCCTGCATAGAGCCATACATTTGATCCTATAGAAGAATATATCAAACATGGTAAAGACAATGATTTGATGGTCACAATCCCTGCAACAGTTTGCTTGATGTGGACATATCTCTGGATGGAATAAGTGAGAGATGGTTTCACCCTGCTTGGTATATCAAGGTAATCCACCTGAAGATTATTATGGAACATCCTCTGTAGAAGTGATTGCTATAACATTGGCATCTACCCAGCAATGTGAAAAATTGCCCAGATATGTTCTGTACATAAGGAGCAGGACAAATATAATTCAGCCATTTGCTGGAAATAGACTACTCTCAATCATCAGTAAAGTGATTGAAGGTGCCATCAACAGTGCTATCAGGCAGCACTTATAGAGTCATAGAGATGTACAGCATGGAAACAGACCCTTCGGTCTAACTCGTCCATATCGAACAGATATCCTAAACTGATCTCGTCCCATTTACCAGCATGTGGCCCTTATCCCTGTAAACCCTTCCTATTCATATACCCATCCAGATGCCTTTTAAATATTGTAATTGTACCAGCCTCCACCACTTCTTCTGGCAGCTCATTCCATACACGCACCACTGTCTGTGTGAAAAAGTTGTCCTTTAGTTCCCTTTTAAATTTTTCCCCTCTCGCTTTAAACCTATGCCCTCTAGTTTTAGACTCACCTACCCTGGGGAAAAGACCTTGTCTATTTACCCTATCCATGCCCTTTTGATTTTATAAACTTCTATAAAGTCCCCCTTAAGCCTCTGATTCTCCAGGGAAAATAGCCCCAGCCTATTCAGCCTCTCCCTGTAGCTCAAACCCTCCAACCCCTCCAACATCCTTGTTAATCTTTTCTGAATGCTTTCCTATAGCAGGCAGACTAGAAACTTTGCTCGGCGGTAACCGGACCACTCAAGCTCAATATAGGTTCCACTGCAGCCACTCAGTTCCGGACCTCATTACAGCCTTGGTTCAACCATGGGCAAAAGAGCTGGATTCCAGAGGTGAGGTGAGAGTGACATCAAGGCCGCATTTGACCAAGTGTGACATTAAGGGACCATCAAAACTGGAGGCATTGGGAATCAGTTGATAAACAATCTGCTGGTTGGACTCATACCTGGCATATAGGAAGATGGTTCAACGTAATAGTCCTCCACCTTTGGCCATAGCAGTCCTTATGTTGCTGAAGTTCCCATAATGGTATTTATTTGACATGACTGTTTCCGGCCAATTTGCCAAGCCTGCCCTGGAAGATATTCAAACTGGTTAGGCTAGCAAGAGGTTGTTTCATTATGAGAGGGGTCTAAGTGAAAACGAACACTGTGAGAAGTCCTGCTTTATTTATGATGGTGCGAGAGGTTCATTGGTGGGGATTGTATATCGAAACTTTTCTCAAAGAAAGCTTTTTTTTTACTTCACACTTGCATCTTCTGCACATCACTTTAAATCTATGCCCTCTGGTTTTTAATCTTTACGTGGGCAGGAAATGTTCTCCCTATCTACTCAATCCAAACAGCTCATAATTTTGAAAACTTGTGTCAAATCTCCTCTTAGCCTTCTTCTCTCCAAAACAAAAATCAACATTTCCCAATTATGCTTTAACTAATGCTTCTGATTCCTGGAACTATTCTTATAAGTCTCTTCAACACTGTCTCTAATGTGTTCATATCCTCCTATAATGTGGTACCCAGAACAACAGTAAGTTTTCAGCTGAGATTTAGCAAGTAACTACAAGTTCAGCTTCACCTTGCTCTTATACTCTTACACCTCTATTAATAAAGCCCAGCGTACTGTATGATTTGTTGACTGCTCTGTCCACCTCTCCTGCCACCTTCAATATCCTGTGCGTATAGGTCCCTCTAATTACGCATCCCCCTTGGAATTGTTCCTCTTACTTTATAGTGTCTGTCATGTTCTTCCTCCCAAAATGCACCAGCTCAGTTCTTGCATTCAACTTCAACTGCCATCTATCTGCTCACTGGTCATGTTACCTAGAGGTGCCACTCCTCAGTAATCAGTAATTAATCTGGTAGCATTACACAATACCAAGTCTAATATATCCTGATCTCTGGTTGCTCTTCTCATCAAGGCTGCTATTGCCAATCTGATTCTTCCAGTTTATGTGTAGATTATAATCATCCATTATTATTGCTGTTTCTTGACCATTTTTCTTTTTGTATTCTTTGTCCTAATTTGTAGTTAACACTAAAGGGTCTGTGGACCATTTTCACTAGTGACTTCCTTCCTCCTATTGTTCCAAACTAATTCCACATCCTGATCTTGTGAACTAAGTCACCACTAACTATTGTACAAATGTTATCTTTGTGCTACCCCTCCACCTTTGTTCATCTTCCTATTATTCTTTAATGTTATATTCCCCTCAATATTCAGAACTCAATATCCTGCAGCTACTTCTCCATTATGGCTATTTATATCTACAATGTGCACTATCGATTCATTTAGTTTGTCGTGAATGCTAAACACATTCAGATACAGAACCTTTACATGTTTCCTTTTGCTGTCTGTTTGATTTCAAGTTTTAACTGAAAATAAAGGTAAACAGAAAATATTCTCTTGTATGTTTGAAGAGGTGCAGACGCCTTTTCTCGTTAAGCTTATCAACATTCTGTCTTCAACCAGCACCAATGAAAAACAGCTTAACTAGGCCTTCATTCCTTTTGCTGTTTGTGGGAACTTGCTGTGCATAAATTGAATATCATACTTAACTAAATAACGTGACTGCACTTCAAAAATAATTCATTTCTGGGTGTTATATGATGTTACGTAAATATGTTCTTTACTTCTAAATTGCAGGTACCAGAAAAGGAGGATCACAGTAGTTATATTAGACTGAAAGAAAATGGGAACCAAATTCAATAGACCCAGACCCTGGCATTTGGAGACCCTCCGTATCTGGAGACTGAAACTTTTCAAAGAGGCTGTCACTGAACTGTACTGGATGGGCTGTGTAATGCGACTTTCAATCTGTATCTAACCTATGTTACACCTGCCCTGAGTATGTTTGATGTTGAAGTGTGATGGGAATTTTATTCTGTGTCTACCTGCGCAAGGAATGGGACATAGAGCTGGGGTTTATGTCTAAGTCCAACCGGTTCTGCCTACCAGCATGTACTTACAAGGACTCCATGCTGCACATCAGCTGGGAGTGTTGAATGGGAGAATATAGACTGAGATTTACTCTGTATTTAACCCCTGTTATACCTGCCCTGAGTGTATTTGATGGGCCAGTGCAGAGGAGCTGTACTTCATCCCTAAGTATGCAATACATGCCCAGGGAATGTTTGATGGGACAGCAGAGATTCAGCCTTTCTTTTATCTATCTTGTGCTCTCTCTGATGTGGCAGTCCGTATTGTTAACATTGATATGTAAATGTTTGAAATGTTCATCCTCAACTTGTGGGAAGATAAATTCGCAGACAAAAAAGAAGCAAATGCCTCAACAGACTTTATGTTCTCAAATGCACTGCTATAAGAGTGTAAATGCTTAATTATTCCTCGTTTTTACAGCAAATGGCACAAGGTAAAGAATATGAGATTGGGTTTGCCCTCAAACAGACAGTGTGCACTAAAGGAATGGAGGATATAATGCAAGACTGTGAGTACATGGATGATGGAGTGAGTATAACTGTGTTTTCTTTCTGAGCATGTTGGGAATCTAATAAGAAGGGCCAATGACACAATGGAATTAACTGTGATTCATAGGTACCTGTTTCTAACAAAGGATGTCAGATTGCGGGGAGAGCTGAGCTTGGGTTTAGCTGCCATTTAATCTCCTGCAGCCATGAATCTCATTTGCCTCAAGAGTCCTCCTGAGTCCTGTTAGTCTCACACTATAACTCCAATGGGAATGTGATGGCAGTATTAGAATTCAGCGGATTGTTCCAATGTTACATTTCTACAAACCATTGGATCCTGGTCCTAATTCATAGATCTGTCTTGAACCCTTTTCTATCATTTTTGTCAATCCTTCCCAATGGAACTTACTCCACACCTTTTTAAACCTGTAGGTTTGTAGTGCAGAAGGAGACCATTCAGTCCATCAGATCTGTGTCTGCTTTTTCTAGAGCAATCCAAATCTAAATCCAAAATAAAAGCCAAAAGAACCATGGACGCTGTAAATCAGGAACAAAAACAAAGTTGCTGGAAAAGCTCAGCAGGTCTGGCAACATCTGTGAAGGAGAAAGCAGAGTTAATGTTTCGGGTCTGGTGACCCTTCATCAGAACTGGAAAACCAAATCTAAATCTGCTATCCAAACCTTTCTGCATAGATCTGGATATCTTTTCATGTCAAATATTTATCTAATTTTCCATTAAAGGTCTCTGTCTCAGCCATGCTGTGGGAGAAAGCAATCTAGACTTCTGTAAGAATGCTTTGTAACCTTCCTCATTGTTCCTTTTGTGACAGTTTAAGTTAACAATTTCTGGTCACTGATTATGAAACAAAAGTAAATATTAATCTATCAAAATTCCTGTACAAATCTTTTGTTAACCTCTTCTGCTTCAATGAAAGTAGTCTTTGTACATCAGGTCTGTCCTCATTGACTGTAGATTCTCAGTATTGGCATCATCCTGACAAATCTAAACTGCATGCTTTTATTACTTCAATGACTAAAGCTACACTCAGAATAACTGTGGTTGAACAAATGTTTTGTAAAAATTCAACTTTGTTTCTTCATTCCTACATCCAGTCCCTATTTATAAACCCCTAAACATTCTTGTTTTTTTTACATATTTATCTGCCAATACTCACACTTTCAGGGAATTATGTTCCAGAATTCCCTAAAACTCTATGTTTAACCATACAACTTAGTCTCAACTGAATGTTTACTTGCACTTCTTGATTTTCCTGGGAATCAAAAACTGCAGCAGAACTGACAGATTTGCCTGCCTTTTTATGGACACCACTGAAAGCCAGTGGACCAGTCAAAAAAATAATTTAAAGAGTAATGGGTTGTTAGTCTTCAACTTAAGGTGGACTACCAAGGAGTACTAGATATATTATAGCTGTACACAGTTCTGGTTAGACATCATCTAGAAGATTGCATTCAATCTTGGACATCCTGAAAAAGAATGCATTGACTTCAGAGGAAAGGCAGTACTGATTCACCAGAATGGAATGGTTAATTGCTACTAGGACAGCGAGTTTATTTAAGATGAGGTTGGATAATGTGCCAAGGAGACTGTGGGGTGGCCTTCTTGAAAGGCATCAAGTTGTGCAGAAAGACTTACATCATTCAAATCTACGTAATGGTATGTTTTGAACTGTAATTATCTTCTGCAATAGTAGAATACAAACATTTGTTTCACTAATTGATCCATTTTCCTAACAGACTGTATTGATTTGTAACGCAATCGTTACAGTTACCTTCAATGTCCCTGTACCAACAAAGACCACAGTCAGCTGTTCACCGGTAAGCAATCCATTTCTTTTCTTTTGGTAATTATTTCACATACAGAGACAGTGAACAGACAGAATGACATAATTACTGCCAGGTAAGGACAATCTCTGAAGAAAAGATAGCCTATCTACACTTGAAAGGTGGAGGGTTTACCATTGTGGCATTACCATTGCCAAAACCCTCCAGTATCTTGGACTATAATTGACCAGAAACTCATTTAGACCAACCACATGAATCATGAGGCTGGGGCTTCTGTTATGAGTGGCTGAGCTCTTGAGTTCCCAAAGTCTTTCCACCGAAAAACTGCAAGACAAGAGTGTAAGGATGGCTTCAGTTGCTATGACACACAAGAGGTTTGATAGCATCAAGTACATACCAGCCTGCCTGACTAGTACCTCTTTCCCCAGTTAAAATATCAACTCCCTTCAACACCAGACATTGTGGCTGCAGTAGGAACGCCTACAGGAAATACACGGGAATGTAGGAGCAGGTGTAAGCCATTCAGCCCATCAAATTGCTCTGCCATTCAATTAGATCATGACTGATCATGTATCTCAACACCACTTTCCTGTGCAGTATTCATATTCATTGATGTCATTATTCCCTTGAATCTTCTCAGTGATTGAGCTTCCATAGCTCTTTAAAGGCTCCCAAAGATTGACCATACTCACATTGAAGAAATTCCTCCCATCTCAGCCTTAAATAGTCTATCCTTTACTCTGAGGCTGTATCCTGTTGTCTAGACACCCTTTGAGAATTTTGTAGATTTCAGTGAGATCTCCAGTCATGAGAATACAGACCCACTTCCCTCAACATCTCCTCATAAGTAAATGACACTATTTGAGGTATTAGTCCAATGAACTTCCATTGCAATCTCTCTCTGGCAAATACATTCTTCCTTAGATGAGGAGACCAACATTGTACACAATTCTCCAGGTGTAATCTCACCAAGATTCCTCACATCTGCAACAAAATATCTATACTTAAAGACCCTTACAATGAAGTCAACATACCATTTGCCTTTTTTGTTGACATGTTTCTGCATTTTAGTATTTAGTGACTCATGGACAAGGACATCCTTCTCCCTTTGGACACCAACACTTCCCAAGTCATTACCATTTTCAAAAATATTCTCTTTCCATTTGTTCCACCAAAGTGGATAACTTCATATTTATTCACGTTATGTTCTATCTGTTGTTCTTGCTCAGTCACAGCCTGTCTAAGAAGCCTTCTTGCACACTCCTCATAACTTATATTTCCACCTAGTTTCAAGTGATCAGCAATTCTGGAAACAGTGGAAACATCACAATGTGTCCCCACATCCAAATTGTTTATTTAGATTGTGAACAGCTGTAGATCCTTGCTGTACCCCACATGAATAGGCTGTCATCTTGAGAATATGTTTATTCCTACTCTCTGCTTCCTGTCTGTTAACAAATTCTTAATCCATACTAGTATGTTAGTCCTACACCCATCTGCTGTAATTTTATTTACTAGCCTCCTGCCTGGGACCTTATCAAAGGCCTTCTGAATATCCTAATGCACCACAATCATTAATCCTTCTCAATCTACATCCTCAAAAACTCAACAGGTTTGTCAAACATGATTTCCCTTTCATAAATTCCTACTGACTCCAACTAATTTTACCAGTAGTTTCCAAGTGTCTAGTTATCAAATCCTGTAAAATAGATTTTAAGATTTACCTACTACTGACACCAAACTAAGAGGTCTCCCTCACCCTCCCTTTTTATTTGATTTGATTTGATTTGAGTTACTTATTGTCACATGTTCCTAAGTACAGTGAAAAGCTTTGTTTACGAGCAGTGCAGATAGATCATAGTAAGCAAGGACATACAGATCACAGGTGCGAGAAAACTAGACAGAAGCATACAGGTTACATCGCACAGACCACGCACTAGGCAAGATCAACTTTAGCAAGGTCAGCATTATTTGAAGTTAGAGAGTCCATTCATCTGGGAAGAAGCTATTCCTGAACCTGCTGGTGCATATGTTCAATCTCCTGTATCTTCTGCCTGACAGAAGAGGTTGTAGGAGATCATTACTGGGGTGCAATGGGTCTTTGATGATATTGGCAGCCTTTCTGTGGCAGCGAGCTGTGTAAATAGAGTCCATGGATGGAAGGTTGACTTCCCTGATGTTCTGGGCTGTGCACACAACCTTCTGTAGTTTCTTACGGCCCTGGCAGAGCAGTAGCCGTGCCAGGCTGTTATGCACCCGGACAGTGCATCTGTAGAAGTTGGTGAGGGAGCTTACGGACACGCCAAATTTCCTGAGCTGCCTGAGGAAAAGGATGCATTGCTGTGCCTTCGTGACTGTCGTATCTATGTGGGAAGTCCAGGACAGGTTTTTGGTTACTGTCACTCTGAGGAACTTGACACTCTCCACCCTCTGAACCGCAGCTCTGTTGATGTAAATGGAGGCTTGTTCTCCTCCTTTCTTTCTGAAGTCAATGATCAGAGTTTTTTAGTTTTGCTGATGTTGAGAGACAGGTTGTTCTCATTGCACCTCGTCACCAAGCCCTCTAACTCCTTTCTGTATTCTGACTCATCGTTACTAGGTATCCATCCTACCATGGTAGTGTTGTCAGCAAGCTTGTTAATGGCAGTTGTTCAGAATTTGGCAACACAGTCTTGGTGTTACAATTGTTACTTTTGAGAATCTGTGGAGTTTGAAAAGATAAGGATCATGCAACAAATCATCCAGGATACTTTTTGCTAACATCGCTAAATCTATAACCTGGACAACATGGAATACCAAGAACACACTACGTATACCACAGGCAAGGCCAGCATTAATTCATCATCCCTTACTGACCTTGGGAAGATGTTGAAGGGTCTTGTTCTTGAATACTGAAGACCATGCGGTGAAGGTGCCCCCAAAGTGCTGTTAGGTGGAGAGTTCCAAGATAATGACACAGTGTCAACAAAGAACCAGCTATTTGTTTCCAAATCTGGATAACTTGTGACTTGGAGTGGAATTGCAAAGTGATACTTTTCCCATGCAACTGCTCGCTTTGCTCTTTGTCATGAATTAGTGAAACCACCCCTAGACAAATGAAGAGGCCCCATAAATGTGGGAGCCGTTTAATGACAGTACAGACTGTACTTTGTGGGTGGGTGTGTGTGAACGTAACTGAATGGGCATTCTCATATCTTCTGCAAATATTTCAACGTATAAATAAATTAGAAACTCATACAGAGAGCAAAAAAACAGAGGATAGTTTACATGAGTCACAAGACATTGTTGGACAGATGCAAAGAGCGATCAAATAAATCAAATGGACTATTGGCCTTTATCACAAGGGGCAGGAACACAAAGGGGAGGTGATTATGCTATTGGTATAAAAACCAAAGGAACTGCGGACGCTGTAAGTCAGAAACAAAAACAGAAATTGCTGGAAAAAACTCAGCAGGTCTGGCAGCATCTGTGAAGAGAAATCAGGGTTAACCAGTTCTGAGGAGGGGTCACCGGACCCAAAACATTAACTCTGATTTCTCTTCACAGATGCTGCCAGACTTGCTGAGCTTTTCCAGCAATTTCTGTTTTTGCTGCTGATTGTTTTGTTGTTTGAGGTTGCAACTGGAGTACTGTTAGGTGGAGAGTTTTAGTCCCTGTATTTAAAAAGAATATAATGGCTTTTCAGGCAGTTCAAGAGAGATTCATGATTTATTCTTGGGATAAAGGGATTGAACAGCTAAACAGGCTAGGCCTTTATTCATTAGAGTTTAGAATTAGGAGTGGTGATCTTATTGAAACATATAAGATTTTGAGGGAGCTTGACAGGATTGATGTTGGGAAGATGTTTCCACTTGTGGTGCAATCTCAAACTAAGGGACATAGGTACAGAATAAGGGATATTCATTTCAAACTGAGATGGAAAGATTTCCTTCTCCCAGAGGACAATGAATGTCTGAAATTCTCTACCTCAGAAAGTTGAGGAGGCTAGACCAATGAACGTATTTGAAAAGTACTTAGATTTTTGAATTCTTGGGGAGTTGAGGGCTACAGTCTTACGATCTTAATGAGCCATAATCTTAAAGAATGGCCTAATCCTGCTCTTATTTCTATCTTCTTATATTATTATGCTTCACTTGTATAGAACCTTGGTTTGACTCCCTCCAGATTACAGCACTCACTCTTTGACAGTGACTCTTCAGGGAAAGATATGTAGGTCTTTACAGGGTGGGGATGATTACAGAAATGTTATCTGGGCTTAAATGGTCCAATAATGAGGATGGATTTCACAAACCTGGCTTATATTCCCTTGAGTAGACAGATCTGGGAATAACCTAGTTGGGTTTGAAGGATTCAATCGGGTAGGGCATATAACTAGAAGTAACTTCCTGTGGTGAGAACAGTCAGGTAAAAAAGGCATAATATTAAAATTGGAGCTGGTTATTTAAGAGTGAAATCAGGAAGCAAGGGGTAGTGGCTTATCTAAAACTCTCTCACCCAAAAGGGCATGAGTACTTGGTTAAGAGCAGCATGAGGTTTGGAGTTGAGTTAGAGATCAGTAATGAACAGCAGAGCAGGCTTGAGTAGCAGAATAAATCCTCCCTGTCCCTTTGGGGGCTAGAGGAGGTTGGGATTTGAACCTGGCATGTTTAACTCCTATGTTTTGCTTTTGCCTTTTCAGCAGGATTGAGTGAGGAGTTTTGAAGAAGACATTGGCCAACAACAGATTAGGCAAAATGAACTGCCAAGAAAACCAGCTTTTGTCAAAAGTTTCTTAAAACCATGAACATGGGACATAATGTAAACTTTATTGCAGAGAAGAAACATATGAAAATTAGTTGTAGACTATCCTGAAAGTTTTGTTTAAAATGAACAATTTAAAAATAATATTTACAAAATGAACTGTATTAGACTTTCCCTGTTTTCTCGAGGTCCTTTGTCAATCATCTAGACCAAGAGTAAGGAAAGATGTATAGTTCAACCAATTACAGCTATTATTCTCATAAGCAATCATTCAACTGGATTTTAAACTGTGAGTCTCATTGTCTAATCTTACTACAATAAATTATAATCAACATGAAGCATCTATCTGTTTTATGTGGAACAGAAATAGCACCACCACTTACTTTCAAGAGCTAAATTAACAGGTAAGCAAATTGACGGCATACTAAAATGACTTGTCCCACAGTTTTTACTGATATTAAATTGTTAATCTGTTATCTCTTCCAACCATTTCCCTGCAGTGCTAACTGTATAATGGCTGATGTCAATCCAGCCCTCATTCTGTCACTAATCAACCTCTTTCTTACAACTTGTTGCTGCTGCTTCTATTAATGATGTTAATTCTGCTCAGTAACTCCTCCCAGACAGTGCCATGAATCTCTGTTGCTTATCCAGTTCCCTCACATTGCCACTGTGTAAGCCCTCCCCGAACCATATATTATTGACGATACTTTTACTGGTGTTAATCTAGTCCCTCATGCATTCATTAACTCCACGTCCTCATATCCAAAATTTCTTGTTGTGCTACATTGAGACATTGGTATTATCGAGTTGGGAGCTTCAGAAGAGACTAGGTTGTGCCAAGACTTTGCTATATGTCTGTAAAGTTTTCATGAGTCAAATAGCACTTCTCTGGTCTTCATATTCACTCATGGGATCTGGATGTCACTGGCTGGGCAAGCATTTATGAGCCATCCCTAGTTACTCTTTAGTTGGTAGTGAGCTGTTTTCGTGGACTGGTCCAATTCATTTGATATGTCAATGTCATTAGGGGGAGAGTTTCAGGATTTTTGCCCCAGCATAACATTGGCATGGGGTCAGGTAGTGCAAGGGTGAGGGGTTTTCAGATCCTGGGACAGGTGGGGGGAGGGGGTAGGGATAGAGTGTGTGCTTTCAGGCCAGTGAATTGGGGGCAGTGTCAGGTCTTCCGCTGGGAATCTGGAGAGCCAGGCTGACGGGTTGGGAATGGCTGTGTCTTGACAGGTGGCGCTGAGGCTGGCAAATCGGGAATGTTATGTCGGGGGGTCAGGCTAGTAGTCATTGGGTGTCATGTCTAGTAGGGGTTGGGGTCAGGCCTACAGCCTGGGGGGGTGTCAGTTTCTGATGGAGAGGGACCGGGAGGTTTATGTCAGGGAATCTGGTCATCCGGAGGTTACATTGTATTGGCGGTTAGGAATCTGAAGAATGTGTGGGATTGGGACAGTGAATAGTAAATCTACCATTGAGGTTAACCTGGGAGTTAAGAGTAGATTTTTAGTCATCTATCTTCTCCTAATAGCTTAACTGTGTTAGAACCATTTGAATTCAATGACTTTATTGGACTTGTCTACTGGCTCCACATACAGTGGAAGTGCCCATTGCACTCTCTTATTTCTGGGCAGTTCTGATCATTCCACGCGCAGTTGCCCTTTACAATTCAGAAATAACTACCTGATCATTGGAATATCTGGGAATGCATTACCATGTGACAGCTGGCCCTTGTAATACTACGTAGTGACCAGCAGATGGCAGACTGTGACTAGTACATTAGTGAGACTCGTCACTTGTTTCCACAGAGGGCAATACGCCTGATTCCGAGGCACCATTTAGACAAAATTAAAGACTATTTCATTTCTAATTTTATGTTTGGGGACCGTGCTTAACCTCCTGTATGATGATTTATTCTAATGTTTATCCAATTTGTCCTGCTTGGTACAAGGAACTCCCACCAGGATAAAGTAACTGTGAATTATCCATTATTCTCTCTGTAAACCATTTGAACCCTTTGATTAAATTCCAGTCTGTAACTCATTCCTGGGTGTTCATTATTCTAAATATAAACTATATGAACTTGTATTTTAAATCGCTGCCTGTAACTCACTCTCAGGTATTCATTGCTTGACAGATAAACTAACTAAATTTCTTGATTAAATATCAGTCTTTAGCTAAAGTTATCTACTTGTGCTCAATATAAACTCCACAGTTACGTTCCAATCTATAATTCCCTTCCAGGTATACATTATTCCATATGTGAAAAATCTGAACCCCTTAGTTTTATGCTAGTCTGTAATTCCCTCTGAATATTTGTTAACGGATATAAATAAATAAAATGCAAGTGACTATGCTTCCTACAAACACTGTGATTGAAGACTTGATTGTACTTCTGAAGGTGGTGCAATTAAACCTGCCACCTATCTCATGCCAACTCTCCCTTAGTATGTCGTAGAAAGATAAAGAATCGATTGGGAAGCTGCAGACCTATTATAAAGTTGAGGTTGGCTACGTATGGTTGAGCTCAGAGTGGAGGAAGAAGTTATGATTCTAGTCACTTTACAATGGAAACTGGGGTTGACAGCAGGATCTGGTTGAGCTAAGATACCTATAATGGTTTGATGTTTGGATTCCATTGGATTTCATCCACTAGCCAGGTCCTACATAGCGAGTGTGTGATTTTGTAGGGCTGTATGTCAGCAAAGAAGAGGTTGGGGACTTTAGGGGAGAAAGATCTTGACTAGAACAGTTTGGAACAACAGCTAGGGAGCTGAGGATGTAGATTTCACCCAACAGCTCATGTTATTTGTAGCCTGTTCCATTGCTTTGCTGCCCTGTAAGTTATTGTGTTGTCACAGCCACACTTTCTAAGGCTTAGTTCTGTACTGGGCAGCTGCAATTTAATTCAATGGTAGATTATTTAAATCTCACTACTCGGTGAATCGTCAAATGTATATCAAATTTTCTGGGACTTTATTTTACGAAGTGACATCTGTGGGGCTGAGGAATCTTATCACTTTTTCAATTGAGAGCATGTCATGCATCACTCAACAGTAGCAAACATGACAGGAACAAACTTTACTGGTGTGGCTTTATTTCCATCTCTGTCTCTTTCCTACATATCACCAGTCACTGTATTCAAAAAAGTTCATTACTTTTACAGTATTGAGACACTTCTAAGAGATACAGTAATGTGCTAGACCAATGTGAAGAATGTCATAGATAACAAGGTGCAGAGCTGGATGAACACAGCAGGCCAAGCAGCATCAGAGGAGCAGGAAGGCTGACGTTTCGGGCCTAGACCCTTCTTCAGAATTATCTCGTGAAGAATATCAGTTTTCCTTTCTATCAAACCTCTACAGTATCTGCAGTTTCTGCAGGAGATCACACCATGAGCAACAATTTCCGTTTGCTAAGTTGGAAGGAGTACTAGTAAATTGTTCATAGTTCTGTCACCTTGAATGAATGTCTGAGGTGCTAGTGGCAAGGAAGGGTTGAAGTTAAAAGATAAGTTTTGTATCTCCTTTGTTTGCATAGGAAGGTGCCATGGGAAGAGGAGATGGTGTTGATGTTGATTAAGAAGTGGAACAAGATGGTGTGGAGGGAACAGCCCATTCAGAGCACAGGAAGGAGAAGATTTGTTCTTTGTGAACATCATGCTGGAGATGAAAGATATGGTAGACAATCTATTGAGTACAGAAGCTGGTGGGGTGGAGCATGAAGATAACGGAAACCCATTGTGATTCTGATGGAGGTGAAGGGCTATGAGCAAAGTGTGGGAAATAGAATGGTCCTGGTTAATCACAATGGATGGGTATCCTCAGTTGAGGGTGATAGTAGGCATATCAGAGGCCTGAAAGATACCATCAATTGAACAGACAAGATGGAGACGTGAGAAACTTGAGAGAATGCAATGGATTCCTTTCAGGAAGTGGGTGGAAGGAAATGTAGTTGAGGAAGCTCTGGGAGTCCATGAACTTAAAGTGAATATTGGAAATGGAGCTGAAGTGGTTGGGGAAGGGAAGAATCAGAAATGAACTATAAAATGGCAAGAGAAGGGTGGAAATTGAAAGCAGATCCGATGAAAATCCAGGTCAGCATGAGAATAAGCATCATTACAGTTACTGCTTGAGAGGTTTTGGCTATGATTTATAAGTAAGTGTTAAACATGGTAGAGTAATTGGGAAGAATACCTTGGATGGTGTCAATTCTAACTTCAGACTCCACAACAATCCAGATTCCTGGATTAATAACAAAGAGAATATGAGTTAAATAGCAACTCTCATAGTTTGAGGATTAGAATTCAATTGAGGGAAATATCAGGAAGTAATAAAGTTAAAGTGACTGTGAAGCTGTTGGAGTGCTGGAAAAAGAATCATTTCTGTAATACCTTTAGAGATGGAAATCTGCAATTCTTACATGGTCTGGTCTACATGTGATACCAACCACAAACCAATGTCATTGACTCTGAGCACTTTTTATTCATTCGTAGAATTTGGACATCCTTGGCAAGGCCAGAATTTATTTCCCATCCCTAATTCCCCTAAAGGATGGGGTAGTGAGCCTCTTTTTTGAATCACCTTGGTCCATTGTTACAACCAATCCCCAGGGCAAGATTCTCTAGTTTATTAAGTTTCCAGATGGAATAAACTAAATCATTCAGCTTCTGGGTGAGGAGGAATGAACTGACTCTTCTTTATTCATCCCCTGTAAGTGGGTTGCAACAAGGTTAATTTAATAAAAAGGATCCCTTTCCTATGGATACCTTTCTCCCAGACCAAAGGAATTTAGGTTTAAATAGGAGCCAGTTTAATCAGGCTTTCTTAAGTTAATAAGAGAGTGAATTCATTAGTTATTAAATGTGAGAAGCAGTATTAATACAACACAGACACACACACTCAGATTAAAACTGAAGTAAAGGTATACGGATCAGATTTTGAGTCATTTGTGAGAGGCGGATAGTAGAACATTGTGGCTGTTACATTGGATGGTATCAGTTGCATTGATGTTGGCGATTAAACAGTGGATTTTGAGATTTTTGGCTTTGGAGGTTCATTGAAATTCCTAATTCCTTTCATCAGTGATTGTCTGATAGCACTTCTATTGAGGAAAAAATCTTTTACCTTTCTTTATCTGCAGTGCAGGGGCATTTAGTGGTTGTTCTTAAACTGTGACCTTAACTAATTTATTTGCTAAGATTTTAGCCCAGTAACACATTGTTTAGGATTGCATCTCACTTTTAACCCCTGTGTTTTACCACAAACCTGGCAACAAGACTTAGCTCCATGCTGGACTGTGGTGTGGGAGGGATGGTATATAGTCAATCCCT